GGACCATTGGAGAAGCGGAGCAAAGCCGGAGATTAGTAGCTGCCTCTTTCGGCGCAGAAAGCTTCCCCCAACCAGCCGGCTGGTCTCCTCCTTCTCTGCCTGTTTGTTCTGTATGGCCGAGGAGGAGGAGACCAGCTGAGAAGCACGCTGCCAGGCGGGGGCCACGTGGTGCAGGGCAATACGCCACCGCCCAGCCCTGGCTTGGGAAAGCAGTGGGCGTTCCCCGGGTGGTGGCCTTGGCCCCGCTAGCAGGGAAGCAGCTGCCCAGCTCCGTGTTGTGTGTGCAATTTTTTGGCGCCTGGCGCGGGGTCTCTTTTGGCCGGCCCCAATTTTTTTTTCAGAGGGGAATATTTTTTTTTCAGAGGCGGGCCGTATTAAAATGACCAACGGGCCGGATGTGTCCCGCGGGCCGTAGTTTGCCCACCCCTGCTTTAGAGTTTCTGATTAGCAAGAATACCATGAGCTGCCATTCAAACACATCTGAAGGATTGCTTAGTTGTGGGCAAGCTAGTGTGTAGACTTTAAAATGGAGATTTGTTCTTGGAGTTTTAATTTTGTCTTCTTTGAGGATCGTAAGACAGACTTCCTAGATTGTGTACCATGGAGCAGTCAGGGATGAAATTGGTCAATAATGTTGGCATTATTAGGAAAGAATTATCAGCAATTTTAACTTCCTTGCACACAAACTTTCACAAGGTAGGTTAAAAAGCCTGCGACGGTGAATGATAGGCGCCAGAAAGTTAGCCCAGCTTTCAAAAACCCTTTAAGGGAGGATTCATCAAGATTTCAGTGTTCAGTAACACTGCTTTTGAAATTGAACAAGTTAAAGGCAAGACTGGGATATCATTCAAACCCTTCGAGCATCTTTCATTCATGCCTTCGGAGACAGGTGGTAGAATTGCACATTAACTGGGCAATTTTCTCAGCAAGAAGCTCTGTAGAAACCCATTACTTTAAAGTAAACCTGCTAAAAATGAATCTGTTAAATAGTTCAGAGATGCCCACTTCTGGGGGAGAAATGTTTTCATCAGTTGATTTCTCCTTAAATAACTGGAGATTATATATCATAACATGTGTGATTTTGTAGTTCCTTCCCGTATGTCCTCATCCGTACCGATAAAGAACAACCACTGAACTGTAGGTGAGTTATTACATGTACTTTGACAATTCTGGAGCCCCTAAAAAAAGAAATTGAGAAATAAAAAGAGAAATGCCCCTAATTAAAGAAAACAAACACACACAAAAAATAATCACCCTGAGCTTTACTTCATCTGCAGATTAGTAAAAATTTAGAATTGTTTCTAATTCTAATTCCATTTTAAATATTGTCGATTGACCGTCTGTACCTGGATTCCATGTCACAAGAATGGACACATTTTTGGGTATATTCTGCGAAATACTAACATGGTAAGAGGCAGGATAGAAGCCTAACAAACTTAAATAAAATTCATTTCTTAAAACCTTTGTGGGGGGAAAATGAGGGCTTTGGTCACCTGTAAAATAAAGAACAGCCAATGTTTAATATGGTTAGAAAAATCAAACAATAAATAATGTTTGGACTAATCAAAAAAGAAAAGGTGGGAAGCGGTAGAAATACGTTACCTCAGAGGGCAAAAAACCTCCATCCTTGAGCATAATGCCAGCCAATCTAAGATAAAAAGAATAACAGAGTTGGAAGGGACCTTGGAGGTCTTCTAGTCCAACCCCCCGCTAAGGCAGGAAACCCTATACCATTTCAGACAAATGGCTGTCCAATCTCTTCTTAAAAACCTCCAGTGTTGGAGCATTTACAACTTCTGGAGGTAAGTTGTTTTACTGATTAATTGTTCTAACAGTCAGGAAATTTCTCCTTAGTTCTAAGTTGCTTCTCTCCTTGATTAGTTTCCACCCATTGCTTCTTGTCCTGCCTTCAGGTGCTTTGGAGAATAGCTCGACTCCCTCTTCTTTGTGGCAGCCCCTGAGATACTGGAACACTGCTATCCTGTCACCCCTAGTCCTTCTTTTCATCAGGCTAGACATACCCAGTTCCAGCAACCATTCTTTATATGTTTTAGCCTCCAGTCTCCTAAGCATCAGCCCTCCCAAACTCCTTCTTCATTTCACTGGTAAACATTTGGTGGAGGGAAAGAGGGGGAAAAAAAAAACCCTTTTCAGGTAGTTGCAGGAAATTGGCTGTTGGCTAGCTAGGAAGTCAAATATGATCATCGAGTGGGGATTTTCAGTGTTGTAAAACCATAGTTCCTGTTTGGGGAAAAGCCCTGTTTTATATACCCAGAAGGAAAATTTATTTGTGTATTCATAAGTTCCTCAGTACAGACTCATCCTCAGAGCCTCGTGTGATTATAAACCAGGGAATGGAGCCTTCTTCCCTTCCCAAAGCAACCAAAACGCGTTCTGCCATCC